CTTATAGAAGGCAGCTTTCAATTTAGAATAGGAAAAATTATAAACGAAAATCCTCAGTTTAATCCTTAAAAAAATAAAATTTCCGAATCAATTTTTAATGCTACTTCAAACTTTTGGGCAATCCAAAGATACGAAGTACAAAAGTGTACATTCGCAACTCGGCGAATCTCGTGGCCTTTCTAGAACGCCAAGTATCAAAAGAAATGCGTCTTTACAAGTCTACCACGAATTTGAGATCAACTTGCAACTAAATTCCGCTCTGAGATTATTGAAGCATCTACAAAATACGTTTCGAGGAGCAACTATTTTGTCTGAATGAGAGTCCGATAAATTACTTGAGTTGATCCAGCTCATAGTACCTTTTCTGAATTCACTGTGATATTTCTTTAATTGACGAAATGACCTTTGAGTAGGTGATAAACTCGATTCTTGCAAATATTTGTCATTAGGAATATTATTCATAGCCACATTGTATAATGATATACATTGTATAATGATAGTAAATGATGCAAGATTATGAATGACTCCCTTAAAATTTTTTGATTCATGTCATGCATAAAAATGGACATTTATTAAACACCAAGTTCCTAAAATAGCCCATTCTTATACATGTATTTTTCCGTGTCAACAAAAAATATATTGATGTTGAATTACCTCAGCCCAAATTAGGAGAAATAATCACACTACGTAATTAATTAACAATTAAAATTATTGCTCACACAACCAATCATCAATTTTTATTTATTTGAATCATAACTTCGGAAAGTTAAAAAAATATCACACACAACACAACGCAAATGATAATTTTAATAATAATAAATGTCCATGTGTCTTAATTTAAATAATGCAAATATATCTTATTAAAGAAATCAAAGAAAAGACAATGATTAAACGCCCTCACGCTTGATTGTATTTTCGATTTCCAATTGACCATGTCGAAGCTTTTAATTTAATTCTTAATTTGTTCGGAATATGATTAGATATCGCGGAAGAGTTGCCTGAAAAAATAAAAATTCCAAATTAGAAAATTTCCGAAATTATGCAATTTTGACACGATGGGTAAAAAAAACTTACTTCATCTCGATCAACGATAATAATAGATCCGCAGTCAGCATGAACAACATCTATAACGAACATTGCCTTTACACTATTACAGCCGCAATAACTCAAAGATATCGAAGAATTGGCAGCAAACCACATTTCTAACAATATAAATTACATGAATTAATAAAATTAAGCAAATATTTAGAAAATCAATTGAATGAATACTTACTGCCAGCATATCTAGAAAATTCCTTCCGATTCCCTTCCCTGACAATTCCACACATACCACACGATTTCTCGCAAAATCGATTATAGCACAGCATTTCCGTCGGATCACAACCAGTCTTTGTCCCATGAAACATGCGATGCGTCAATGCTTCGGGCTTCACTTTATTTGTTATTGCGAGATTCTTTCGATATTCGAAGAAATTTCGAGAGATCTCGCGTGACATTTGCAGGCGAATAATTGCAAGGACTTGTGTTCGAGGTAGATCAGCAATGAATTTCTCATGGATTGCCATGTAGTCCAGATCGTGGGATTCGAGCAAGGTTGGTAATGTCTGAGTCTGTTTTGATACTTGACCCCAGTAACATCTTGCTGAACAGTAAGCTTTGTATTTTTTTGGGTCTTGAGGATCAATGTATGCAAGGTTATGACATGTGGAAAGAGCACACCGTTTTCGATCACTAGCATTTATTGACGGTATTGGAGGTGTTTTTAATGGATTATATGTGCTGGTGTTGTTGGTTGATGATGATGGTTTATGATTCATGCATACAGCTTGTGGTTGCACGGTTGTTTTTTGTAGTCTTTGTAGTAACATTTGCCGCTGTTGTTGGAGTTGTAGTCTTTGAAATAATTGTCGTTGTTGTTGTTGCGCTATTTGTTGCTGTTGCGCTATTTGCTGCTGCTGTTGCTGTTGCTGTTGCTGCTGTTGCTGCTGCTGCTGCTGTTGCTGCTGCTGCTGCTGTTGCTGCTGCTGCTGCTGCTGTTGTAGGCTACGTTGTTGCAGTATTTGCATTGTTAACATATGATTTCTTAAGGCTTGTTGCTGCGCGGGAGTCAGTTGTTGCTGTGGTTGTTGTGTTAATAGCGAATTAAACGGAAATAATAATGGTGGTAGTGGCTGTGTTGTTATAGGTGTCGTAGATGAAGGCAATTGTCGCGATTGTGATAAAACATTATGATTATGATGATTATTATTATTTATTGTAGCGGAATTTATTGGTAATTGTTGTTGTTTTAATTGTTGTTGTTGTTGTTGTTGGAATTGCAATAATCGCAATTGTAATTGTTTCTGCTGTATTAATTGTTGATTTTTTAATTGACTCTGATAATTTCTTTTTTGTAGTTCATTCATCTCAGCAAAATTAACACTCACATTACCAACATTGGAACTATTATTAGCAGCTTGTTTTAATGCAATTGCATGTTGTTCCCTCAATTTCTTAGTATCGACCCGAATCGGTCCTCCCCCGCCGCCTCCCCCTAAAGATGCAGAATCTTGTCTCAATTGATTCGGAAATGTTGTCGAGGTTGATTCTCGCTTTACTGGAGGTATTGAAGTAGCATTATTATAATTATTGGTAATATTAATGTTATTAATATTACTGTTATTGTTATTGTTAATATTAATATTGTTATTACTAATAATGTTATTATTGTTGTTGTTATTTGTGGTCTGAATGTTATCTAGATTATATTCAAGTTTTATCGGATTAATCAATGGTTGGTTAATCATTTGATTCACTAATAGATTTGTTGTGTTGTTGGACGGTGTGCTTTGTGATGTCGTCGTCGTCGTTGTCGGTGTGGTAGTAGAAATGACGTTTTGATGAGGAACAACACAAGGGGAAACAGCGGCAGCACGAGTTGATGATGGACTTGATTGCCGTACTTGTATTTGTGATGCTATCGGTTGTTGCAGATGTTGTTGTGGGTTAGGGTTGTTGTTGTAATTCGATGCTTGTGTGTTCGTGGTGTTCAATTGAAGACTTGCCAAGAAATTCCAATATTCTTGATTTTGTATCGCTGATATATTGATTTGATTATTAATATTATTGATGTTGTTGGTATTGTTATTAATATTCGATAATAGCGGTAAAGCAACGGTCGAGGCCATATTATTATTATTATTATTATTATTATTATTATTATTATTAAAATTGTTATTATTAATACTATTATTCAAGTAATTTGTTGTAATCGGAATCGGTGTCTGCTGAAATCCATCTCCAAATAAACTTATATTATTTATATTATTCGCAGCAGTTTGTTGTTGTGATATTTGATATGGTGACAATTGTTGAATAAGATTATTATTACTGTTATTTATCAAGATATTTTGTGATGATGCTATTGATGATGACGGTATAGAAAGACAATTAGATTGACCACAAAATAAATAAATTTGCCCGTTAGAGTCTACAAATTTCGGTCGATGGCAACCAACTTGATTACATAGATCATGGAGACTTCCTCCCGCCCCCGTCGCCGCTGCCGTATTTATAAAAGACTGTGGTAGTGGTAATGGCTGTTGCGAGGATGAAGTTTGAGTAGTTTGCGGGGGTGTTTGTTGATACGCCTGCATTGATAATTTGTTTTACTCCGAAAATGGGAAAAAAATGAATGTATTTGTTCTTGTTATTATGCTCTGCTGTTCTCTGTATATATTAAATATAAGCGTATGTGCTGAGGTAGCTAAAGACGAACCACAAAAGGCGACTGTTGGTTGATAAATAGAAGAGTGAAAAAGAAAAAAGAAAATATTTTATAATGAAATTTCTATGAATAAAATATATTTTCTTCGTGTTCTCCTTCAAGTGGTTAATGAAATACTGGCAGTCGCATTTATATTATTTTTTTATTGCTTGTTTTTTAATCCATTTCTCTTTTTATCTCTATTCATGTATTTATATCATGTATTTATTATGTATGTTTTTATATATTTGTGCGACTAAGGGAGAATGTGTGTTGAATGAGTGTATCGGTATGGATGCGGTGCGTAAGTATTTTATAAAAAACGACGATGGGTCCAAACTGACAGCTGCTGGAAATTAAGAATCTCTTACCCACATTCAATGAGATAGATAGTTGGTTATCGAAATATTATCTGACGATTAAACAGTTATTAATGATATTATTGATATTATTGATATAAATAAAAAGGACGCACAATGTCAAAAAAAAGGTCTTTCTCTCTTTTTTTCGATTTCTCTCTTTCACCTGTATTTATACAATAATTTATTCTAATTTATTGTATATGTCCCCCTTTATTTCTCTCTTCTTTTTAGACCATAGTGAGTTATTCAAGAATCTCCAAATTAGGCATTGTTAATGCTGCGCCATTTATATTGGTTTTTATAATTGGGCAATTATGCATACGGTAACAACAATAAGTTAGTCATCCGTTCATTATTGAAAGGACCGGCAAATGATATTTCAGTATGCAAATCTTTTCCTTTTCCTGCTCATATGGAATTTTTTTTGAAATTTTTGGCAGTCGTACCTCCATATCATCACACCCTCCAGATTAAACAAGTGTGACGTTAAAGAGGAGGTTGTGACTGTATGGAGGTTAAATTTCCAGCCGGAACTGGGAAAAATTGTCTAATGAGGTAGTTTGATCTCTGGTTGGAATTTATATTACCTCTCGAATACCTGGATTTCATTTTCAAGCAGAGGGTATGTAACACGAAAAAAATGAGTATTCTATCGTCATAATAACTGGGCGTTTGATCTTGCACACCCCATTTAGAGTTTCAATGTCGTATCACTTTGTATCATCAAACATAATACAATAACTACTAATTGATAACACGGCTGAAAAAAATAGACTGGTCACAATCACGATCTTTCCTTAGAACTTTATCCCCAACTATCATCCCATTTGGTATATATTCATGTGTATGTCTCTCTCTTTTTCCTACCCTTCATTTTTTTCCCTCCAAATTTTTGAAGATATATGCGTGATTGGTGATATCGGTCGATATGTACCAATTATTATTGTACAACTCTTGTGACTTGTTTCCAATTATCTCGTATTCTAGAAATTAATGCATTCCTCGCGCTGGCACGTGATTACAGCATTAACGAATCGGGATATTTTGTTATTCCTCCGTAGTAAGTCAAACCCCCTTACAATTAATCAAATTAATCACGAATGTGCATCAGTGTGGAAATCAGTTGGGTGGTATAACAAACAAATCAATTTATCATTTGTTTCATTCAGAAAGAGATTTTCTGCATTGTTATTAATTCTCTATCTATTCATCCATCCGTCCATTTGATTCAAAAGAAAGTTTTTTATATTGCACACTTACCCACACCTTGAAACTATCATCATCATCGTCGCGTTCTTGGTTATCATTAATGTTTTGATTGATCGATTGAGACACATATACATGCGTAAATATATAATTGCATTGCCCAAAAAGTTATATCGATATCGATATTACATGCATTACGTAGATTATTATTTACAGACTACATGTAGTCTAAAACGTGACTAATTAGAGCGATAAATCGAATATCTTTTCTGATAGTTAATTCACAAGAAATCACATACGTAATTAACTTTAAAGATATACATGTAATTGTGAAAATGAGCACAAAATGTATGTGGTATCGGTATGTGTTGTGCTATCGAAACAAATGAAATCACTCTTCAGGGTGCACTATGCATATCACGTGTAATCGAAAGATTTTATCATTATTATTTCCATTTGGTCTCATATGTCGTACAAGAAAGTGCATTGCATGCTTTAATCAATAAATGGAATATGTATCAACTTCCAAGAGACTTAATAATGATTTTGCTTCAATGAACTATAATGAGTAAGAATAACTCATTGTTAGTTCATTATCGGTATTATTTTAATATTCTAACGTAGCCTGTGCAGGTTTGATAACTTTCGACTTTAAAAACCTAGAGAACAGATATAAATAGATTTATCGTTTGACTGAAATTCCAGCGTAAAATCTTGTTTATCACAAATACTTTTTCAGCCTATCACGGCAGTTTAATAAAGTTTTTTAATTAACACAAAAATTTAAAATACGGAAACGTCTAAATTAACAAAGATAACGGGTAAATCTTCGGTAACAAGTATGGAGTAATCGCATATATATGGAACGGGCTATTGTTGGTTTTTCAGCACTAACCCTTAACTCTAGTCGTCCCCTTATCCTAATTTACTGTAGATCCCGTTATCGATGTCACAATTTTATGATTTGATCACAACAAAAATGTTATTAAGCGGATGTTGAAAAATTTTAACACGATTACCAATTTCTATCGCCTATTAATAATTCATATTGTAGAACATACGTAACCGCAAAATTAGCGTTAGATAAATCTATTCAATATTAGTAAAAATTTGCAACATGCATGCAAAAGTCGGTAAATATGACAAATGTCACAAAAAACCCCTAAAAGAAACTAAATACGAAAAATGTAAATTGGATACATAAAAGTCTTTGCCCATCATATTATAAAAACACACGTATTATAAAAACCTGTAAAACTTTTTATGGGTGTTTGTGAATGTAACCGACTCTTTTGTATTTTTATTGGCATCCATTTTTTGACTTCACTAATACATGTATAATATATTCGAGGATTTGACTTCAAAAAAAAACGGGATGATGCTTATTCACCGAACATTTCTACATATCATTGCTTTTGAAGTGGCGGCAGAATACGGTACATTATCATGAATTTGTGCCATCCAATAAAATTGACCAAGAAATCCATAGTGAATTGAATAGAATAAGAGACCAAGCGACGAAATTGGGCTATTGGTTCTGCTACTTTGGCTGCATAAATATTTTAACAAATATTTATGTATATATGGTAGCTAGAAATAATTTATTCGATAGAGCAACAAAACCTGCAGCACATTTTTTGAAGGAAAAATGGCGAAGACTCAGATAAAATCAGAACCATCCACAATTCTTTTTGATTTCTAGAATATTAACGGAAAGCTTTCACTGATGGCGTCACACTCACAGACAAATGCAATCGCAACTATCAATCGCATTTACATTCGCCAAAATCTATGCTCATTGTCAAGATACACAAAAAAGTCTCTCCGTTATTCAGAATTTGTGGCTAAACGTGCTGATTTCTAAAGAAATTTCCACTACCGAAAAATCGTTAGTGTTCGGAACCGGTTAATGATTAACCGTTTAACCGACGGTTTGACGATTAACCGGTTAAACATCGATAAGTTTTTCGTTTATTGTTAAATATGAATAGATTTATGCGAACAATATCAAAGAGATTCACACAAAGTAGTGAAAAGTATATACAGTAGTATGAAAAATAAAGAATGCATGTTTATGTTATAATGAAAAATTCAACTCATTGGCAAACCGGTAATTGACTTTATAATATTTATAGTGTTGACAGGTCACCCGAACATTGACGGGTTGTATAGCCGAAGCAAACTGATACTCTTTTAGCCCAGAGATGGGAAACGCGAACCAAAAGGCAGGTTATAGGTGATATAACGAGATCAAAAACCGACAAATAATTAGCGTGATTTCGCACAAAGTAGGTACGCGTCGATACCATAAGTTTGATTATTTAGACATACTGGATCCGCCTTTGTTTTTGATTGTTTCCTCTTAGCATACAAAGAGCGAACACGAATTCAATAGCGTTTGGCCAACTCACTCGATTACTTGCAGTAGTTTATAAATGATCGGAAATAATGAAGCAGTTGCAGAAAAAAACGAATAACCTAAAGGCTTTACTATCCTTTGCCGCACAAGTGTTATCTGACAGAACAACTGGCACACAAAGATTGTTCCGTATGCTGTACTGTAGAAATGGAAAGCAAGTCACGATACCGACGACTACTAGCTAAATTTGAGGTCAAAGAAAAGAAAAAAATCAAGCTATAACGGAAATATTCGAGGCAAGTATTTAAACCGCGTTTGGAACTTGTATGATATCCTTGTCAGTGAGGTCTAAATGCCGGGTGTTATTGCTATTATTGTTTCAAGTTGCATACTGATGTAATGTTGTATGAAGATACAGGGGGTGGAAAAAAGTATTGGACACTTTTATTTTATTAATTACTTTAAAATATATATAATAAATTATTTTTA